CTTCTTCGGCAGGCGGGGGCTGAGGAGAAGGTGGAGGTGTGGATGGGCAGAGCAAGCATATTTTGGAGGATGCAACTAGAACCAGCATTCATATAACTGTTTTCTGTTGGCCTTAATGATTGGATGGGACAGTTCAGGTACTGTATTCTTCGCAGCCGCAAGGGATGCCCCCAGATTTTGGCACAGGAGCGCTGCGCAGCAAGCGGTGAAGCAGCACTTCCCAGGAACTGCACCTCTGTCGACCCTGGAATCCTCCAATGAAGCCGCGCAGCTCTTCAGAAGACTGGAGAACCAGGAGCTTGTAAAGTTGGAGGATCATCCTCAGGAAATGGTTGTAGGGATGGCTACAACAAGAAAATACGTGGGACGAGCATGATGTTGTGGTGATAACACGGCAATGGTATCACCCCGAGGAATCGGGGTCTCATCAAATCTCAAGTAAGTTTCGTCCCCATGGAGGCTGGGCAGAGCCATTGAAGTGAGACTCTCAGGTTGCGAGTAGTTGTAACTCCTTCAACAATAACCCGACATCTAACGTAAATCGGCATAGCTTTTTGTTGTGGTCCTTTTGTTGGTGCCCAGCCAAATCAACATATAAATCAACATCAATCAGCATAAATCACCTAATTCTGCTCAATTTCTTGGCTCATTTTCACCTAATTTCATCCATCCCCATCCATCCACATCCAGGAGGGCGAGGCCATGGCGTTGCTTTCCATCGCCTCCTGCCGCCTGGCGCAGCCCGGCGCGCAGCCCGGCGCCCTGGAGGCGCAGGGCGCGGCGCAGCGGGCGCGGCAGCTCTTCCAGGCGCTGCGGCACCGCCGGGGGCGGCTGCGGAGCCTGGAGCTGCTGCAGCAGGCGATGACGGAGACGATGATGGCGCTGGAGGTCTGGATGGAAGGATGGAAGGATGGGGGGATGGAAGGATGGTGGAATTTTTCCAAAGGAAAAAATGGGCCATGATATGTCATGAGATCAGATGATGTCACTGACTTAAGGGGATTTAAGAGGGATTTGAGTAACAAACAGGTGATTGAATGGGAATAGAATTACCCTCCGGTATTCAGCTAAAGCTCCATGGCAAGAACGGGAATGTAAAGGGAACATAAGGGAATTATATTGGTCAAATCATGGATTCCATCTGACTGATAGGAAAAAGGGGCAGCTGTTGGCATTTCTGGGCAATGGATGTTATCTGTGGATCTGGCTCCGCCCCACAAAATGGGGGTTGGAAGATGACATATCTTCTGGAAATTTCAATCTTCACAGGCTTCAGATGGCCATTTCAGGGGATTGCATTGTGAGCACCTGGGGATCCTATCTCCAAGATATACAACTATCTCAGTTCCAAGCTGTAGGAACTATCCAATCACTTGCTGGTTGGTGCGTTAGTTTCCACCTCAACTCGGCATGATCTAATTTAATTCTGCTGGGTTTTGGATAGTTTTGGGGTGGCCGGGGTGGCTCAATCATCTAATAATCAATCAATCGTATCTGGTTCATGCCATCTAAACATCCGATCAATGACGTGGTAGCATCTCCAAGATTGGTTATATTGTTGGGTATACCGGTATACCTCTACCCCTATATTGGATGATGCAAATTGACACTCAGATGGTTGGTCAATGAGAGGGTTAGATTTGGATGTCAATGGGTGCCATCCACTGTTGCAAGGCCACTGAGGAAGAAGTAAACCTCTTTGCTGCTGAAGGGGATGTAGCTGGACAGGCGCAATTTCGCATGTGCAGAATGATGGGATGCCCATTTTTGTCTGAATTGTGAGCCATAGATTGATATGACAAGGCCCTGAATAGCTTCAATAGCTGGATGCTTTGATTCAACTTGCTTGAAACATCTTGAAACTAAATCTCAACCCCACATTTCAGCTCTTTTAACCAACCCAACATGAGGTGGACGCTCTCCGCCTGTTAGCGGACTTCTACATCAATGCCAGGCGGGGATTTTTCCGGAGGTCCTCTAGCTTGGTTCGCGGCACAAAATGGCAGGAAACCAAGGGCTGCTTTCGAGCTAAACTGGAAAGGTCAGGCTTGTCGCATCTTGTAGGCCAATGTTCTTCCGACATTGGCTGAGAAGTTTTACCAGTATGTTTTTTTTCGTAAAAACCCGATCATGCCTAAAAGCTCAAGATTTCGGCACCAAAAGTGGCACAAGGGAACTCGATGTACGCGGCACAAAAGAGGTTCGTCGTGGCCTTGGTGGAGGACATCATGTTGGAACACATACCCTTCACAGAATATTTTAAGCACCCCAGTGGCCCAAGGATTGGTTGAATTCTCTGACTCCCCGGATAGGAAGAATCATGGTTTCCACCGTATGTTTCTCCTTGGACAAATCAATCCATTCATCCGGATTCAAACAGCCCACTTCTTGGTGGCTCAGAATCACCCTTCAGAACTTTTCGCCTCATTCTTAGTGGGGTCATGGGGTCACTGGGGGCCAGGATGTATGGAGAAGCTCGCAGCGCCCTGCGAAAAGCTTTGAATCTGTTGGCAGAGTCTGGCGCGATTGACGTTTGGCGCCTGTGGGTATGTCTGAAAATTTTCAGAACATGGGGTATACACGCCCAATGCATGGCAATTTTGATGGTGAACATTATGATTAAGAAAAAAATGCACGCCCAAATGGCAATGTTTTGAATGGGGACAATGATGATTGACCATCACATTTACATCAGATCTTTTTTTGTTCCCTAGATTTTCAATCAAATATGTTTGAAGCACCTTTCGGATCCGTTCCATGGCCAAGACGTTGCTTTCATCAGGCTGTGTCCAGAAATAGTTTTTTTGCGTCCCAGCGGCTTACTTCCATTGGACAGTATCCTATTCAGTGATATCTAGTGGTTGATAAAACCAAAATCCGTGCTTTCTCGTTTGCTTTCCTGAATGCCCGGTTGTTAAAGGTTTGATTCTCAATTTTCATCGGCTGTTGATGAAATTCACTGAGCTGTTTGCTTGGTACAGGTTTCCCTTAGAATGTTTGCGAGTCAATAGCGAGCTGGACATGCTGGGCTTGGACCCACCATAGCCCATAAATCATCCAATTAGCACCTATTCGTGGTTGTTCTTTATCTTCCCGCGGTTTCTTGGTGGTTAAACCACCACAATTGCTTTTAAATGTTTAACCCTTTTTGGAAAGATCATCATTTTCCATGCGCGTGACTTCATCTGGATATTTCAGCCGTTCTTGTTAGCCATGATTGACAGACCTCCCCATGGCTATCCGAACAGAATTGGTTGAAAGATGTACATTTGATTGACAACCCAGACTTTCCTAATGGTTCCTTCAAATCAAGACAGTTAAATGCTATCTAATGTTGCTAGGTTTCTTACTTCCATCAAAACTTCATGAATTGCCATCATGAAATATATCCGTTCTATACCACCTTTTTCCACAGTTGTTGTAGCTGATATACCCACGATAACCCATTAGTGAATATATATATATATATCAATGATATCCCATGATGTATGTGTAGAAGGTTTACATGTGAGATTATATTATGATATATATATTATGATATATATATATTATGATATATATATAGCATTATATATTATATATATCATTATATATAATATAATATAATATATCATAACATAATATAATTTAATATAATACAATACAAGATAATATAATATAGTATAATTTAATATAATATATAATATTTAATATAATATAATATAATATATAATATAATATATAATATAATATACTATAATATAATATAATAATAATATATACACATAATATAATATATATAATATAAATCAAGAAGATACCCATTGGATCTCCACACATTAACCTCTGGAAACCAAATGTGGCTTGCTGGAAAATCATCCATTTATAGTTGATTTTCCCGGCTAGACATCTCCATTTAGTTGGTGCATTTTCAATTGCTATGTTTGATTACCGGAGGGTATCCCCGTTATATCCCATTAAACCACCTTTAAATTACAATCTTTGTGTGTTAAATGCAATTAAATCGCAGTTTGTTGATTAAATCCCATGAAAATTCACCATTATTTGATACCCATATGACATACAGTATATATATATATACACATACATAGAATATTTCTGATTGGTGGTTTGGAACATTTTGAATTTTTCCATATCTTGTGAATGCCATCATCCCAACTGACGAACTCATATTTTTCAAAGGGGTAGGTATACCACCAACCAGATATCCATCAAATAATCTGGGTTATAGATAATTGGAAAATAATAGATATATATATATATAGAAATAATATAGCATATGATGAGAAAATAGATACCCAAGCATTGGTTCCAAGGAGAAGGAGGTCCAAACGTTGCTTCTCCTGTCGCACGTGGAGGAACTCCTGGGCTCACCCACTGCAGCGCTGAAGGTGGCGCAGCAGGCCTTGACGCTCAGCAAACGACGCTTGGATGGCGATGGCGATGGCGGGATCCGTGGATTTCCTCAGTGGATTTTCAATGGATTACTGGTTAATAATGGTTAGTAATGGTTAATAATGGTTAGTACTACCACTATATATATACATATATATATATATATATATCATATGTATATCTGGTTGGTGGTTTGGAACATGAATTTTATTTTCCATTCAGCTGGGAATTTCATGATCCCAACTGACGAACTCATATTTTTGCAGAGGGGTTGAAATCACCAACCAGATTTTAATGGAGCATCGTCAGAACCCCCTTGAATACGCTTTAAGAAGAGTTGTGTCATATGACTGGGTCGCGTAAGCAACACCCTGGGTTTCGTAAGGTGGTGTAAGCCACTTTTGCAGAATACAATGCGTAAGCTCTGGCGCAAGCATGATCATGCCTGACATGATGATCTGCTCAAGGTCGTACAAGCTTCTGGCATAAGCAGTTCCTATGCGTTTTAAGTCAAACTTGCCAACATAAGCGTCGCGTAAGTCATTTTATGTACATGCCTGCCACGTAAGTCAAACTTGTGGTCGCGCCAGCATTGCGTAAGGTCCAGCGTAAGCAATGTCATGCGACATAGGCTGGTACTCTCACGTTTTCGGAAAAACATTTTTCTTTTAGGGATTTGAACGGATTTTGGTAATTTCTCATGGATTTAAGTAGATTCTAAGTAGATTTGAATGCATTTTAATGGATTTCAATGGATTTTCATCCCATCTTACTCAGATTCATAGGGGGCTTAGCAGTTTAACCAACAAAAAAGGTGGTTTAACAAGGTTTATATAACCATCCTGAAATGACTCTGTAAAGCCAATTTAACATGACATATTCATAGATATTCATGAAGAGCGATCCAATACATACCGCCCAGGTTTCGTTTGGCAGGTATTAAATACGAGAGGGAAGAGATGACTATGGATTTGATGGATTTCAATGGATATTACCAAGATGCTATTTGACATATTTTCTGGGATAATTGGGACATCACGGGGTGTATTAAACCACTATTTTGCATGGCTCAAGCGAGGTAAACCAACTGGATGGGAACCAACTGGATGGGTAGTGATTTTCCATATTATCATCTATTACAATGAATGAACGACCCCGGAAGTAAAGACGAATAGGTTGATCATCCCCTTTTTTCGGTAGTTTCGGCTTCAGCTCATGAGTGGTTGCAGATTGTGCAACTGCCCCTTTCCTGGAGTGGACGGAGTCTGCGCTTTGTGCCGGTGTGTCTCCCGGCTGGTGGGGGAGTTCAGAGCACTTCAGCCTGTACTGCGATCCTGGGGGGTCAGCCAGGCCAGGCAGTGGACTTCCCTGCTCCAAGAAGAGCAGGGACAGGCTTTGTGCTCCTGTGGGCCCTCCTACTACGGGAGGGTTACCAGTGCCTCCCCCACCTCCTCCTCGTACGGAGGGCATTGCGGTGAAGAGGGAGGCGCCGGCGAGCGCACCAAGCGCCCCAGCCGAGGTTGCTGAGGCACCTTCCTCGAGCGCCCGGGGAGCTAGAGAGGAGGCTGAGAGATCCAGATCGCGTCAAAAGCCCAAGAAAGAAAAGAAGAAGGAGAAAGCTGAGGGAAAGAGGAGTAAAGCCCGAGATAGTAAGACAGAGAGAGGAGAAAGCCCAGGAAGAAAAGAAAGGAAAGAACGTCCGAGAAGCAAAAATAGGTCAGGAGAAGAGTCTGCACGTGGAAGCAGAGAAGCTTTCATTGACAAGAGGCCCGTCAGCAGGGCAAGGAGTCCGAGACTGGAAGATAGAGACAGGGGCAGAGGCAGACCCCGAGAACCAGAGCATCCTCCTAGAAGGTGGGAGGGTCCTATCTTGACAGTGAGGCGTCCGATCGGAGAAGCGGAGCCCAGGGCCGATCCCCAGCGTAAGAGGGCGCTCAACAAAGGCAGAAAGAAGCGAGAGAGGCAGCGGGCTTGGCGAGAGGACCGAGCTCAAGGTTAATGGCATTGAGGAGGCCAGCGGCGGCAGGGCCAGCTGGTAGACGGGCTCCTAGGGTGGGAGCAGCTCTGCGTAGACCGGCGAGTCGAGGCGCAGGTGAGCAGAGTCAGAAGGGCGAAGCAGAAGAAAAGTTTGTGAACGGAGAAGAGGTGGAAGCCAATTTGGCTCCTTTGGGAAGATTGGTGCAAGGTACTCCTGTCGTCGTCGTTGTGGAGTACCGACAAGAAGGATGTCGTCTTTGCGGCACAGTGCAGGGCCTCCAAGTGCGCCATGTGGGCGATGTAGAGTTGCAACTGACAGGGGAGGGGACGGAAAGCGAGTCCCTCCTGAAGTGGATCACCGGGCACCCCACGGTGCCAGTGCGGGTCCATCTGTGCGGCCCAACTTGCCCCAACAAGGTGGACGCAGAAGGTCTAGTACACGCCACAAAAATCCGACAGAAACAGAGGAGCGACGAGGGAGGCTGGTCAGAGAACCTGCGAGAAGGAAGAGACGAGAATGCAGAGCTGAGGAGAGAAGCAATGGCATTGCAAGAGAAGGAAGCGAAGGAGAAAGAGAGAGCAGACCAGAAAAGAGACGACAAGAAAACAAAGAAAAAGAAAAAGGAGAAGAAGAAAAGATCCTCAAGCACCGGAGGATCCAGCCGAAAGAAGGTGAGATCGAGCAGAAAGAGGGTCAACTCACGAAAGGAGCTGAAGGATGTCTTCGGGTCAACTGGCCTGGACCCCAATTACAAAGTGAGGAGGAAACTGGTGAAAGCATTGAAGAAGAAGCTGAAGAGGAAGAAGGAGGAGAGCACCAGCGGCGATTCAAGCTCCATCGATGGGAGCGGGGAGAGCAGCGACCAGGGCAGCTCCGAGGACGAGGGGATCTTCGGGGACACCCACAAAGTGCGGGTGGTGGCCCGCCGAGCTCCAGGAGTTCTAGCGGAGAGCACTATCAGGGAGATGCAGAGTCAACTCCTGACGGCAGCAGGCACAGTTTGGGACCAGGAGAAAGGGGAGGTGCCTGCGGTGGCGCTGCAATATTACCGCAACCATCTGGCCCCCCTCCTTTCAGGGGGGGCCAGCCGAGAAGCTCTGACCTTGTGCTGGAGCTTAGACCTGGCGCTTCAGGGGAAAGTTGCCAACACGGTCGACTGCTTGGCGCAGAGGCTGAAGAGTTTGCAGCTGACAGCCAATGGAGGGAGTTGGCGAGTCAGTCAGAGGGTCGAAGTGGTCCCGCCAGAACGGGGACAACTGACAAGCCGCGCAGAAACACAGGCCGCGGCCAAGGAAGACAAGGAGGAGCAGAAGACGAGAGCGTTAGCAAAAGGAAAAGAAAAGGGAAAGAGCGAGAGTTCAGGGGCAGGGGCCCCGTGGCGATACGGAAAGGGCGAGACAAAAGGGCGCGACAAAGGGAAAGGCAAGAGGAGCGAAAAAGAGGAAGGAAAGAAGAGCTCCTAGATTTGGGAGCTGAGGCTGAAGACGAATATGAGGGCCCCCTCCTAGGTTTGGGAGGAGAGCCACAAAGAAGCTATGAAGAGGTGCGAGGAGCCCCCTGTGGCCTTAGTTTAAACCAGGGGAAGACTGCCCACGGCCGGGACACTGTCCTTGGACAGGACCGGGCCAGGTGCAGTACGGGAGTGCGCGAAGATCGCCCTCCTGACAGCCCTGAATGTGGACCCTGGGTGCGTGGACACGGTTCTGTGTGGAAACCGCCTATAGGTGTTATGGGGCATGGCGCCGGAGAGAGGTCAGATGGCGCAGGCGTTTTTCCACAGTTTCATGTTTCACCTAGTGGCGAAGCTCCGGACAGCCAGTTCGCTGGTAGTCCCTCGGCGTCATCCAACCGATGCTTAGGTGACTTTGCAGATAGTCACTTGGACGATGCCCCGCAGACCTTCGATCGCAGTGGTGAGAAAAAGAAGATGAAGGATCCGAGTGAAGTCAGGGAGTGTGGTCGAGTTGAGAAACTTGTTGGTTTACCCTGGGGTTCCTGTTTGCCCTTAGTTCAGTCACTGCTGATTAAATCTTCTTCAAAATTGAAAAAGAAGCACAGCGAGGCCAAGCCCACGGGTGACGTATTCCCGTTACCCACCAACACTGACATTTTAAGGGGGCAGGAACGTCTGGCCAGGGTTGATGTGGTTATGCTGCGGTCTCTTTGCTTGGGTCTCAATAGTTACGCGGGAGTTGACTTAGAGTCAGGGGCCAGAGTAACTCCTTTGCAGCTTGAGTTCCTGGAAGGGCTGTGCGGAGATTTAGCAGAGGTTTCAACATGGGAAGAGACGTTTAGCTTGTCTACTTGGGAATCCTTTTTTAGTAGTCGCAGTGTAGACTATGTTGGTGATGAAGTGTCGGTGGCAAAAACTACTTCTTGGTCCAACCTTAGTCCAGCTATACCTGCAGAAGTAGGAGGGGTGGAGCTGTCTTCGGTATTGGAAGGGGGTTGCAGACACTACGTCACACATTTCGAGGACTACCTAGTCCCTCCTGAATCCATGGAATACACCAAGCCTCCGAGGGTCATGGTAGCTGATGACCAATGGGAGGGCGTCTGTCGAGGTCTCCTGTCATCGGGTATCTGTGGCCTTCTCCCGGAGAGCGAGTTGTTCCATGTGAAGGGGAAGCCTCTCCTAAATGGCCTCTTCGGAGTGCCCAAGGGAGACAGAGCAGGAGGGATAGAGTTGCATAGGCTAATCATGAATTTGATTCCTCTGAACAACATTTGCCGGCCAATCCAAGGAGACGTATCAACGTTGCCAGCATGGTCCTCAGCTGGGCCGTTAATGTTGATGCCCACTCAACAGTTGCTCATTGGGTCAGAAGATGTGAGGTGTTTCTTCTACATTTTTAAAGTTCCCGCTGCATGGCACAAGTTTCTCGGTTTCAACAAGGCTGTACCGACCCATCTGCATCCGGGGCAGACCGAGCGCCATTTTTTGGTGTCTCGAGTCTTGCCCATGGGGTTCAGGAATTCAGTCAGTCTGGCACAGGCAGTCCACCGTTCCGTGGTGAGAAGAGCCAAGGGGAGGACGAGCAATCGCCTCCTGGATTGCCAAGAGCTGAGGAAGGATCGTCCTTTCCCCAACACTGATCTGATGCATCGAATATATTTGGACAACTTTGATGAGTTGGAACGCATGGACGGGAGTTTGGCAGCGCTCCTGAAAGGTTCTCCAAGCCCCTCTATTCTAGCCCTTAGAGCTGAGTATGAGGCTTGGGGTATTCCTAGGCATCCCAAAAAGGCCGTGCAACGTTCCTTGAGGGCCGAGGTACAAGGGGCTATGGTGGATGGTGACAAGGGGTGTGCATACCCCAAACCTGACAAGATCCTAAAGTATACCCAACTGGCGCTACTCATGCTAGACCAAGGGAAGTGTAGTCAAAAACAGATGCAGGTAGTGGCTGGGGGCCTCGTGTACATTGCCACTTTCCGTAGGGCCCTAATGGGTGGCCTGAATCACATCTGGGCGTTTATCGAAGAATTTAACAAATACCCACCGGTGATACGCCTGGAGATCCCCTACTTGGTGGAACTGGAGATCAGTCGGTTTATCGCACTACTGCCGTTGGCACGTATCAACTTCCGAGCGCTACCCAACCCCCAAGTGACTGCAAGTGATGCCTCCACGACTGGGGGAGGTGTCACTGTCAGCAGGGGACTGACAAATCTGGGTCGGATAGCCACCTTGTGCCCCTCGAGGGGAGACGTCCCTGAACTTGGTGAGATGACCCAAGTACTCACTATAGGTCTCTTTGACGGGATCGGGGCTCTCAGAGTGGCAGCAGATGCTGCTGGTCTGCCAATGGCTGGACATGTTAGTGTGGAGATGGATGCCTCAGCCTCCAGGGTTTTGGAATCCAAGTTTCCGGCCACTCAATTTGTCTCAAATGTGGAAAGTGTTGACTTGGACATGGTGCGACAATGGGCATGCCAATTTTCCCAGGTCGGGTTAGTGATCTTGGGTGCAGGGCCTCCTTGCCAAGGAGTCAGCGGATTAAACGCTGATCGTAGGGGAGCGCTTAAGGACTACCGTAGCAAGTTGTACGTACATGTGGCCCGAATCCGTGATCTTGTGCGGGTGGCTTTTCCTTGGGCACAAGTGCACTCCCTTGCTGAGTCAGTACAATCAATGGATGTCGAGGATCGGATGGTTATGAGTGAGTCCTTTGGAACCCAAAGCTGGGCGATTGATGCCAGCGGGGTCAGCCTGGCCAGGCGACCAAGGCTGTACTGGATCACGTGGGCGTTGCAGACAGGGGAGGGTGTGACCATCGAGATCCCTCCTGATGACAAATGGGAGTCCATGGGAAAGGTGAAGCTGGAAGGTAAGGTGGAATCTGACAAGTACCTAGTGCCAGGTTGGAGAAGGCTAGGTGAGCAACCTCTCCCCACGTTTACCACCTCACGGCCACGACAGCATCCAGGGAGAAGGCCGGCGGGGCTGGACATGTTGACGGCGGCAGAAAAAACACAGTGGGAGGAGGACAAGTTCAGGTTCCCTCCTTACCAATAACAGACCTGCCATCAGGTCGGGAGAGGGGATGTGCACCGCTTGGTCAATGCCGAAGAGCGCGAGGTGATTCTTGGCTTTCCCAGGCATTACACAGTCAACTGCCTGCCTAAGTCCAAGCAAGGTTCTACGGAGCACCAAGACCTCAGGTTGACGCTGCTGGGCAACTCCTGGAACGTCACTGTGATCACATGGCTCCTCAGTCAATTGGGAGCGTGGCTGGGAGTAAGTCCTCAGCTGACGGTCCAGCACTGCATCGAACGGACGTCGCCAGGAGCCAACACGGATTTTGCCACTTTCCTTACCAGACAGCCGATGAACGGGCCGAGGAAAGCTCTCATTCAGGGAGGTAGCGATCTCCTCGTTAAGAAACTGCTCAACTTGGTCAGTATCAAAGGAGAGGACATACTGGTGAATTCTGCTTCAGAAGAAACACTGAAGTATCACAGACTCAGAGCCAGTATTCCTGCAAATTTGTGGAAGTGGTCCACAGTGTGCGGATGGAAATGGAGAGGCCATAAGGAGCACATCAATGTGCTGGAACTAAGGGCCGTGCTATGTGCCATGCGTTATCGTACCACCAAGCAACGAGTCAGAGACCAGAGGATCATACATCTAACTGACTCACTAGTGTGTCTCCATACCCTCACTAGGGGCCGCACCAGCAGCAAGAAACTGCGAAGAACCCTAGCACGTATCAATGCCTTACTCCTCCTCACCCGAAACACGGCAGTGTGGACATATGTTCACACTGCCCTGAACCCTGCTGATGCCCCTTCAAGGGGGCGTATCAAACGGAAATGGGGAAGAAAGTAAAGCAACATGTGGAAGGGAGGAGTAAGGCAGAGCGGAAAACAATACGTGCCAACCTGGGTCCCCTTAAGGGGTTGACAGTGCAGCCCAAAACGAAAGATCGCTACAACAAAGCTGTCCAAAAGTTCCTGAGCTGGACCAACAATCATGGAGTTACACTTCCGCAACAGCGCTGCGAGATTGACCACATCCTTGCCGACTACCTTGAATACATGTGGACTGAGGGAGAGGGGAGGAGCCTAGCCGCTGACACGGTAGCGGGACTACAAGATCGAGACCCTCACTTGAAAGGACATCTCGTCATTAGTTGGCGCCTGTTAAAGACTTGGGCTTCCCATGAAATCCCCTGTCGGGCACCTCCGCTCACAGAGGAGGCGCTGCATACCCTTGTCGGTCATGCACTATTTCACAGCCGTGCGACTTTTGCTCTCTCCCTTCTCCTAGGGTTTCATGGGCTCCTTCGAACTGGGGAGCTTCTTGAACTTAAAGGCAAGGATGTCTCGCAAGCTAGCTCCACTTCTGTTGCAGTGATATCCCTGGGATTGACCAAGGGCGGACAACGAACAGGAGCCGCAGAAAGTGTGACTATCACTGAAGCCGACACGCTACGGCGCTTGTGGCAATGGAAACAGGCGGTTAGTCCAGGCACCAAGTTGTGTGATGCACCACACAAATGGAGGAAGATGTTTCAAACTACGGTTGAAGCTCTGGGCTTGGAGCAGTATCAGTATAGACCTTATAGCTTAAGGCGAGGTGGAGCCACTTTTTATTTTCAGCGTCACGGCCAGCTGGATAGGCTCCTCCTTCAAGGGAGGTGGCAGTCCAGTAAAACAGCACGTCTGTATATAAATAGTGGATTAGCTATCCTGGCCGAGACTGAATTGAACTTGGCCCCTCATGCACGCATGTTTCACAAACAATTTTTACGTACAAAGTCATTACCCTTGCCTCAACTTGAGCATGCCATACATGGCAGGGCAGGGGGAAGTGGGAGAACAAACTCCACTAGACGACAAAAGAGAAAGAACAAGGAAAATACGGAGTTTGGGGTAGGCGGGCTGGTTGTTCCCCGGTTTGGCGGGGCCCAGCACTACCCGCGTTCTTTGGCTCATGTTTACCTCGGGTAGGCGAGGAAGCATGGGGGGAACGCCTATGTTGATTTTATGAATGGCTGTTTGGTTGAATGGGAGTCTGAGTTCTTCTTTGTGAGAAGAACAAGTTTGGTGATGTAATTATTTTATTTGCCTCTGTGAGGTTTTTTGACCTAACAGGTCTTGCTGTGCACAAAAAAGGCGGGAAACCGGTGAGTCTTTGAATGAACGACCCCGGAAGTAAAGACGAATAGGTTGATCATCCCCTTTTTTCGGTAGTTTCGGCTTCAGCTCCCACAACCACCCACCCTTCTGTTTGGGGAGGGAGAACAAACTCCACTAGACGACAAAAGAGAAAGAACAAGGAAAATACGGAGTTTGGGGTAGGCGGGCTGGTTGTTCCCCGGTTTGGCGGGGCCCAGCACTACCCGCGTTCTTTGGCTCATGTTTGCCTCGGGTAGGCGAGGAAGCATGGGGGGAACGCCTATGTTGATTTTATGAATGGCTGTTTGGTTGAATGGGAGTCTGAGTTCTTCTTTGTGAGAAGAACAAGTTTGGCGATGTAATTATTTTATTTGCCTCTGTGAGGTTTTTTGACCTAACAGGTCTTGCTGTGCACAAAAAAGGCGGGAAACCGGTGAGTCTTTATATATATATATATATACATACACAGATTACATCTATTTTACATAATTATTACCCATGATTCCATGATATCCATATGATTCCCATTAAATCACCCATCGAATTCCCAGGTACCGCCGAGTCCGCCGCGTCCGCCGTGTCCGCGCGTCGGGCGGTGAGTCGGCTGCTGGTGCAGAGCGGCCAGGCGCCGGAGGCGCCCAACCGGCGGGCGGCGATGGAAGCGCTGCAGCTCGGTTGCCATGAAGAAACGTGGTCAGATTTGATGGCATTAATGGACTATCATCAATGGGAATTTCAGGATCCTAAAATGGAGGTACTGTACCATATAAGGCCATATTTTGGGGGGATATTCCCTTACATAGGCCTTACATAGGCCTTATATATGGTAGGTACCTCCAATTTAGGTTCCTGGAATGGCCATTGATATCATGACATTAGTAATGTCATTAGTAAGATCATATGACCATTAATGATATCACTAATACGATAAGCTTGTCAGTATTTGATGACTATTACTTACTAATATCATATGACTATCATGACAATATATAATCAATAATACTGACTATTAGTAATAACAATTATTGATCATTATAATAGACTATTATTACTAATTGATTATATATTCCTGATAATTTATAATAGACTATTAGTGACTATCATGACATTAATTGTACTCTATAATGATCAATATATCATATTAGTAATAGTCATTAGTATGTGATCATTATGGCAACTATCATGACTATTAGTAATAAGATCTAATGGTACTTAATGATCAAATATGACTATCATGACATTAATTGTCAGATTTAATGGCGATGATAGTAATAGATGATGAATAGTAGATGCAAATATCATCAAATATCTATTTACTAATAGATGGCAATGATACTATTAGATATAATAATGAAGACACGTCCACATGCTAACGATACTAATATGATGACAGTATATAATAGATACAAATGAAATTAATAGTAGTACACCCTAGTCATTTCACATAGTTCTGGACTATGGTCCATAGAAATCGATGCTAAACATGGTGATTTACATTGATTAGATCCAGTTAGCTAAGTTGGTTGAACTAAGCAGGTGAAGTAGGATTTATGCGTTACTAAGTTACAATCAAAAAAAATGTTGATTAACCACTAAAATAGCAGTAGGGGGTTGGAGTCAAGTCCATTGAAATCATTGAAGACACGGCCCCAACAGGGGGTGATTTAGGCCACCAACAACGGTGGATATTCACCAGAAGGGATGAGTTTCTCCAAACTGGGAGATTTGCCACCCAAATATGATAAGTTTGTAAGGGGGGGAATGATTTTCAAACATCAAATCTGGAGGTACCCAAGTTTTTGACAATATCCACAGCTGTGTTCACGCCAAGGGCGTTCACATGGGGTGATAAAGTCAGACATGTGTTCCGACCTGTCAAGATGGTTCCTTCTGTTTTTGCCTGGAAATGTGGCATACCACCCAATGGCAATTTTACTAGGGAACATGTTGATACATTACGAGATTTTTTGGGTACAGTACCATGGGGTACCCAATTTCATTTGAACCACTATGTTTACAAGAGAATTTGAGCATATAGTCGATAAAGATGTTCTGAAAGGGTAGGTTGCACAAACTCTACAACATTGACATCTGAGATGGTACAAACAAATCTGGGCATATCTGGTTGCTTTGGTTTTGCGGAGGCTGTATCGCCGCTATATCCAACTTGTGCTTGGATATATAATGATCAAGCATGATCAAGTTACAAGAAATCAAAAGAAATCATCCATATACAGCTAATTGCAGATATAGAATTTCCATTAATTTCCATTAATTTCCATGGAATTTCCATGAATTTCCATGGAATTTCCATGAATTTCCATGAATTTCCATGGAATTTCCATGAATTTCCACGGAATTTCCACGGAATTTCCATGGAATTTCCATGGAATTTCCATGGAATTTCCATGAATTTCCATGAATTTCCATGGTATTTCCATGGAATTTCATGAATTTCCATGAATTTTCCTGAATTTCCATGGAATTCCCATGGAATTTCCATGGAATTTCCATGGAATTTCCATGAATTTCCATGAATTTTCCTGAATTTCCATGAATTTCCATGAAATTTCCATGAATTTCCATGGAATTTCCATGAGTTTCCACGGAATTTCCATGGAATTTCCATGAATTTCCATGGAATTTCCATGGTATTTCCATGGAATTTCATGAATTTCCATGATTTTTCCTGAATTTCATGAATTTCCATGGAATTTCCATGGAATTTCCATGAATTTCCATGAATTTCCATGGAATTTCCATGGAATTTCCATGGAATTTCCATGAATTTCCATGGAATTTCTATGAATTTCCATGAATTTCCATGAATTTCCATGTTTCCTTTGATTTCTTTCCCCCAGATCAAGCCTGTTGTCTCTCCTTGGACCCGTGACAGTTCCCCACCAGAGCGCTGAGGCGAGATCTCACTGAGGCTGTGCGGAAGCGTGATGCCACGTCACTGGACCGGGTAAAGATGGAAGGCTCTGAAAATGGCCATAGAAATAGTGGATCTACCCATAAAAAATGGTGATTTTCCATAGCTATTTTTAGACAACCAGAGGATATACTTCAAGATATACTTCAAGACAATGTGGGTGTTTAGTATCATCAAAGTGGGTACACATGATCAAACGAAGCAGTTTATAGGATATGAATGGAATGTTGCTGGGATGTTTTTCAAACATGGAAGTATTTCAACCAACCGTTTTTTTTTTAAAGGGTAGATTTGGATCCTACTTTTGCAAGGGTTTCCTAGTCAGAGACAGCCCCCAGTGACATGACCTAGATCTGGATGGAAGCGGGGAAACCACCATTTGTTTCCCCTGTTTTTTTGGGGGGTTGCCAGACACCAGACATATCTCCATCATTTTTTTGCGCCCCTCTTGCAGAGGTCATTTCAGAGTACCATGAAGGCCCTGGAGAACTTGTCAGGCTACGAGGAGAGCGATGTCAAGGCTGCGCTGATTGTGGAGGATGACGCGGATCAATCAGGTGCCGAGCAACTGACGCTTTACTGGCCATAGAAATAGTTGATTTACCTATAAAAAATGGGGATTTTCCAGTTCGCTATGTTGGCTTACTAGAGGGTAGAAGCTATACCTCTACAGCCGTACCACTGCATGGTGGATTGCTTTACCTGTGGTCAGAGCCCATCCTTTCCCGGTGGCTTCGTGTACGGGGCTTCCGAGATCTTCTGAGCACGTGTCAGGTCTGACGAGATTCCTCAAGCAGCAGGGGCAGTTGGTGTCAACCACCGGTGGCTCAACCCTGATGACAGCCTTGAGCCATGCGCTGCTCTATCTCTCTTTCCGCTTAGGCGGGACAGTTTCGACAGTTTGGAGGGGCAGGGCAGAGCAGTTTTGGACATTTGGTGGTGTCAACTCGATCTTTTTCGACCACAAGTAGACTATGGAAGGATACTCTGGGTGTATCCAAGATGGGGCATCCTGTAACATCCTGGAACCGACGAAAGCCAACCAGACATAGTAGGGCAATGTAGGGCATAGTAGGGCTCAGATTCCCCAAGACTGGATGTTTGGGGAAGTTTACCCTTGATTTATGGTATGTTTCTGTTTGTTTCTACTTGAAGAGGTTCCCAGGTACACCCTGAATTCCCAGTTGATGCAGTTTCTGCCGATCCCCAAGGTGGCCTCGGCTATGGCCCACGGTTTCGTAGATGCTATGCCTATGGGGTGCAGGGGCAGGATGAGGACGAGATGCATGCGGTGGCCTATCTGCGACACCTGTCATCACAGGAGGAATGGCAGAAGAACATGGAGATCCAGCCCCCGATGTTGGATTCTATGCAGCATTCGCTGAACGCCGTCACCATGACGTAGTGACGTAGTCCCCTGCGTGGCCGGGATGGCACATTGCCAAACGGACTGCTGTTATTGAAATTTCTAAGATTATTTGGCCAGGAAAAACTATGTCCAGCTTGCCAACTTCGACTCTTCCGAGGGTTGAAAACAGAAACTCTGCTGCCTGGATGCTGACTGTTTGGCCCTGCCACTGTTGCTCAGTTGTGATGTCCCATTCGGGCTATGTTCAGCGTCACCTTTCAATGGCGTTGCAGATGACCCTCAGATGGTTCAGAAGGAAAGTAGAAACGCCTCGGTTTATCACGGGGATTGCCACCGGATCAGGGTAACATCTTTCTTGTCCAACACCACATAGCAAAATTGAATCGCTGAGACCGAGACGAATGGACTTCCAAAATCTTCAAAATCTTCCGAAAAGCCTCCGTGCTCATCAGATACCATGGTCTCCACCAAGAATCAGCCGACTATCTTCCGACTTGCCTTTGGCTCAGCTGTTTCATCGAAACCCACCAGGTTAGACCACAAAATCCACAACAGCGCCAAAGACGTCACCGTTGACATCGCTACCTCTCTGTCGCCGTCGCCAGACCGAACCTTGCGCCATGGATCTTGCCTTTACAGCACCGGCCGGACAGGCCGAGGCCCCAGACAGATTGTGAATATGACAGCAAGCCAGCTTTTGAACAACATATCCAGGACAGAATCTCAGGAAAAGAGCATGTTGCTTGTAATGTCGATTTGGGAACGTAGAGGCCACAACTGGAATGGTATTGATGTTTTTTTCCTCCGAACATTTCATGCATTCGGGTCTCACTCCTACGAATAAGTTAAATCACATCAGCTTACACGTGCGCACCACATCAGCTTTGTCCAGTCACATCACATCCGCCTGAGCTTTGTTGGTTGAAGCATCTGGAAATAGCAATTCTATGGCTTCAATCGATTCGAATGCTGATTTGTCTGGCTAACTCATGTTAAATCAGCCATAATCCACCATTTTCGGGTGAGTGAACTGCTCTTTTCAACCTTTTTCGCATGAAAAACCCATCCGTTTGCGGGTCAACGAGACCACCAAATCCGGCCTCAACGAGGCCCCTGCGGCCCAGCTTCACAGGGTTAAACTTCAGCGGCACCTCGGTCGGATCGCGTTCCACGATGGCGAGAGGAATTGGGTATATCCTGGCACATAAACGCATGGAATATCATGGAATATCATGGAATATCATATTCCATGAGTTTCTGTTCCAGTATAGCCATTTTTTTGGCATATGTAACATTGGAATATCATGGAATATACTGGGAGTGATAGCTAGTGGAATATGCGAACATTATGTAACTCAACAACATTTTTGGAGGATAAGCGGCAAGAATCATGGGGATGAATGATGAATCATTGGTTATCCCTTGAGAACAGCTGACTTAAGAAGCCTAGAGGTCCCCTGGATCTGCAATGGGATAAATTTGATGGGAATATTTCTTTCCGGTTGGCGAATTATGACATTATTTATCCAGATGGTTATGGTCCCAATCGGGATTTTTGCTCTGAAAAATGGTGGGCTTTTAATATGACAACTTGGGGATGAGATTGAATTCCACTGATGTGGGTATTTTGTTTGGCATGAGCCAATCTTACCATATGAATGGTGGGATGAACATCCACAAATTGCTATTTTGATGCTAGGGTAAGGAATATTCCGACCTTTGGCTTGTACATGGAGATATTTCACCATCAACAATGCTGGCTTTAACGTAAAACAAGAGGGATTTTGGAAGAAATCGGATGTCCTTCATGTGGGTTTCTCCACTGGAGATATGGGCAGCTGGACATTTGCTTTTCATCCTGTCTGGCTTGAGAGCTATCCAATGGTTTCTATCGTTGATGACAACAAGGACGACCAAGCAGGTGGAAAATCAATGTCATAAGCCACCCATTTGGGAATGGTTTATAGCACCTATAAAAATGGTGATTTTGGGGATGGTTTATTATTGTTTTACCAACATTAACAACAATCATTCTGTTGATGAGATATATTTCCCAAAGAGCTTTGACTCTTCCGAAGTCTTTTCCGAGTTGACTAGGACGAGGACCTCTTTAGGACCTCCGCTTCTCTAAGAGTTCCAAGCTGGCTTTGTGGGATCCTCTAGCCGAATCTGTTGTCCATTTTCAAGTGGGACATGGGTCAAGGCAGTTGATATTCCGAACTTGGTACAGTATTGTTCGATACCATTCTATGACCCCCAAAAAACGACACAGACACTTTGAATCATTTTGGTCCATGTTGAAGTTGGTAGACATATGATATTTCACATATGTATATATATATATAATATACACACATGTATATTACGCTGAGTACACCTTCCCAATGTTTGAACTCGGAACTTTGACCCATCCCCATTGGGTTTATGCCTTTATTCGCCTGAAAACTAACGGTTGCAGATGTGGCGCCCCTGGATGATGCTTAAGTGGGCATGTGATACATACCACCACTTTTTGAATACACGCTGGTTACATATACCATTGCTGGTTACACATCCCCAACTGTTGGTTTCATATCACATTCTATCCCTCCTTTTTCTGTCCCCACTGTTGCAATTTCATTCGTTTCATCTCCCCATTTTCAGGGGTCAATCCTTTTTTCAAATGCTCAAACTCAGCTGAAAACTCACTTGACCTCTCAGGCCATCTCCAGAACCCTCGACTTTCAGATCCTGGCAGGTTGTCATCGGACCGGAGATTGCGGAAAGCGTGAAACACAGACTTTATATATCAGAAGTGTCAGGGTTGGGACTTATTATCAACCATAAACAGCCATGATCTATACTTCAAATATCTGAAACTTCTCAAATACTAATGTGGTCAACCCAATTTTCATAATAAGCTACCACCCAAAGTCATGATTTTTTAGGAGTATAAACCATCCCCGAATGGGAGTTGTTTAGGGCACTCCAGCTGCAGCCAGTGCCAGGTCGTCACAGCCTCTTGCAGCACCCTGGGATTGCTCCAGCCCCTCTGGCCTGTGGGGATTTTACTGCGGAGAAGTCCATGGCATTTTTCCCCAATTGCTTTTTGGAACATGAGAGTACACCATGGGGTAGGATAAGGGGGTACCCCGTTGCCCGTTGCGCGATGTGAGCTGATCTTGTCATGAATATCATTGGCCAATGTCTCCGAAGCTGATCGTATCTGATCGGGGGGGGGATGATCATGGATGATCTATTTCAGGTAAGTTCTTCAATGTTCTTCATAGTTTTTCGTCAGCCAGATGAATATTTTTGATGTGTTGAAAGTCCTGCACATAGAAAAACAGAAGGAGGTTCTAGTTGCTTGCTGTCGACTTAATTTACTTATTTTCCCGTTCAAATTTTGTTGCCATGATTCATCGATCGATGAAGAGCGTACTTGAATGAAATTCATGGGTTGGGTGGAAACCGCCAACCATTCTACTTCCAGCCAAGGTGGTGCCCCAGTTTGTTAGCAAAGCTGGTTTACAACTATATATGTAGCTTAAGTATAACTATTGTTTATGTTATATATATATATATTATATACTTTGATCTATATTGGCTGTAGGTAGGTTTTATTCTCAATATAGTGATCACTGTATTGGTTCTATACCAATCTTTGTTTCAACAAATGCCCATCCGGGTCACATAGCTGGCGATCTTTCATCCAGATCCCCATCCGGTAAACCTGGGTAAACCTGAGGCTACGTAATGGGCGCTCGAGGCAGGTAGAACCCATCTTCCGGTGGTGGTTTAATGGTGGTTTAATGGTGATTTAGTGGTGGCGGTTGGATGGCGTTGGGGGGCCTTACCCCTCAAAAAAATGATGTTTCGATGACAAGTCAAATACAATTGAAGCATCAAAATCAGCGCCAGATGTCCCATGCAAGACCAAACAAGGGACATGTATGCCACCATGGACGATGGATGAAGCCGCACCAGGGGTTGCCGAGTTTCCCGCGCTGGGGCGCCACCTAAGCCCATTTGGCAGACCAAGCGCCGGTTGGCCGCTGCTCGGCGGGTGTAAGTTTTGGACCGTATCCTTGGGATTCCCCACGCATGAGATGTTGACACACCATGGGTGGTTTCAGAATTATCCAACATCGTGGCTTGTAATCTTCACTAGCAAGATGTTATAACATTTGAATTATTGATCCTCATAATCGGAGGATGCAAAGCACCAGGCAGATCTTTGTAGATGATCTTCCCCTTTTGGAGTTTACGGATGTTTATATATGGTGGAAATAACTGATATAACTATCGCATTCATATCCCATAGGATCCATGTATGGTATATATGCTAACATTTGGGGTATATTGATGGTAAATGTTACCATATATAGCAGCACCATGGATCCTATGGGATATGGGCTTAAAAACCAACAAGCATCACTCGAGTGCAGGGGATCCCTCAGACCTTTCCACCCTTCCGTGCGTCCTCAGGTTGAACAGTTGGAGCGCCAATGGCGGCTGACGGAGGTGCAGGTCGGCGCTATGTTGAATACTTGGAGGATCCCAGCAACTGTAGGTGATTGGATGTGATTGGCTAGAAGATATCTGAAGCCTTTTGATAGACAGGACAACCCCACGAATCCGCGACTTAACGATCATCAGGGTCATCATTCACTAGTAGGATGCACGATGCAGGATCCTCCAAGCAGGAACATCACCCTGAAATCATCTGGTTCGTGGTTTGGAACAATTTTTTCCCCAATAGTTGGGATGATGATCCAATCTGACTTTCATATATTTCAAGGGGGTTGAAACCACCAATTAGTCATAGTATGTTTCAGGATTCAACTGTCAAGTTTCAGGTTTCACGTGGCAAAACCACCAGGTCACCGTGGATTCTTTTCAGGTTTGCCTCAAGGGATTCACAAATGACATTCGTAATGTGGGATTCACCCAGTTTCATCAACCATCCATTACCACAAAGACTCAGCCTTTTGGGAATGGTTGGATAAACCAACCATTTCCAGTCAGCGTATGTTTATTTATGGCAACTAAATCCCACATAAAAAACAGTTTTGATACCGAGGCATATGCCCTTGCTTCGGTTTGCTCAAACGTGGTTTTAATGGGAACATCATCTATAACATGCAGGATCTTCCAGCCATGTTTCATTGCCGGAGGGTAGCTAACCACAATTAGTGGGTTGTGTTCTTCGGATTGCAA